ATTCATCAATTTCACTGTTTGTTATGGTATCACGCGTAGGTAGGATCCCCCCCCCCCCCCCCCCCCCCTCACGCTTCCGCTCGCCCCCTGGCTGGGCCCCGTCGTGCTCCTAGCCCCGTCGCGACCCTCCCTAGCCCCGTCGCGACCCTCCCTAGCCCCGTCGCGCCCCTTCCTGGGCCCCGTTGCGCCCCTTTCTGGGCCCCGTCGCGCTCCTCCCAGGCCTCGTAGCGCCCCTCCTGGGCCCCATTGCGCTCCTCCCAGGCCCCGTCGCGCCCCTTCCAGGGCTTCGTAGCGCCCCTCCCGGCCCCGTCGCGCCCCTTTCAGGGCTTCGTAGCGCCCCTCCAGGCCCCGTCGCGCCCCTTCCAGGGCCTGGTAGCGCCCCTCCAGGGCCCCGTCGCGCTCCTCCCAGGCCCCGTAGCGCCCCTCCTGGGCCCCATTGCGCTCCTCCCAGGCCCCGTCGCGCCCCTCCCTAGCCCCGTCGCGCTCCTCCCAGGCCCCGTAGCGCCCCTCCTGGGCCCCATTGCGCTCCCCCAGGCCCCGTCGCGCCCCTACCTGGGCTTGGTAACGCCCCTTCAGGCCCCGTCGCGCCCCTACCCATCCCCGTCGCCCCTGCTCGGCCCCGTCGCCCTGCTCGGCCCCGTCGCCCCTGCTCGGCCCCGTCGCGGCCTATCGGCCGCGTGGCGCCCGCCCGGCCCCTGTCGCGGCTGCCCGGCCCCTGTCGCACCTGCCCGGCCCCTGCTCGCCCGCCCGGCCCCGTCGCCCCTGCCGGCCCTGCTGTGGCCTGCCCGGGCCCCGTCCCTGCCGCCCGGCCCCGTCGCCGCCGCCCGGCCCCGTCGCAGCCGCCCGGCCCCGTCGCAGCCGCCCGACCACGTCGCAGCCGCCCGGCCACGTCGCAGCCGCCCGGCCACGTCGCAGCCGCCCGGCCACGTCGCAGCCGCCCGGCCCCGTCGCCCCTGCCCGGCCCTGCTGTGTCCGGCCCGGCCTCGTCCCTGCCGCCCGGCCCCGTCGCAGCCGCCCGGCCCCGTCGCAGCCGCCCGGCCACGTCGCAGCCGCCCGGCCTTGTCGCTGCCGCCCGGCCCCGTCGCCGCGCCCGGCCCCGTCGCAGCCGCCCGGCCCCGTCGCCGCCGCCCGGCCTTGTCGTGCCTGCCCGGCCCCGACGCACCTGCCCCGGCCCTCCATACTTCCTGGTACTGTCCCCCGTTCCCCGCACCACTTTGCACCCTCCTGCACTTTCCTGCCCCGCCTTGCATCGCATTGCACCTCACTGGATCGCACTGACCGCACTGCACCGCACTGGACCGCACTGCACCGCACTGCATCGCACTGCACCGCACTGGACCGCACTGCACCGCACTGCATCGCACTGCACCGCACTGCACTGTCCTCCACTGCCCTCATGGCTGCTGAGCTTCGTTTTGATGTTGAGGGTCAGCCTCTGGAGTTCGAGGCGTGGTTGGCTGACCTTCGCCGCCACCTCACTGGCCAGCGGCAGGACGGCCACCCGCTTTCTGCACACCTAGACGGTATGCTCCCCTGCCCTGACCCCCTGCTGTGCTGCCCGCTGATCCCACGCCCGCTGAGCGCGAGTCCACTGCCGCTGCTGCCCTTGCCCGCTCTGTCTGGCTTTCCCGCGATGCCTTGCTCAGCTCGCCATTAGCAATGCCCTCCCCCCCACTGAGCGCCCTCGCTTTAGAACCATTCCTACCGCCCAGGCCTACCTCGATGCTGTCATCAAGCGCTATTCTACCCCTCCTGCTGCCTCAGTGGGTCGCCTGATCCTTCCCCTGCTCTTTCCTGACCTGGCGTCTTTCCCCACTGTCTCTGACCTCGCTGCCCACCTGCGCTCGATAGATGAGGCCTGGCGCGCTGCCTGCACTGATGCTCAGCTTAGAGTCCACCAGCCTCCCATGACCTCTACCCTCTACCTCCTTGCCACCCGCCTACCTGACCGCCTTGCCGCGCCCGCGACCAGTTCCTTAGCATCCACCCTGCTGCTCTCACCCTCACCGACTTTGTTGACACCCTGACTGCCATAGAGACTCGTCACCGCTCCATAGCCCTGGCGAGCGGTACAGTACCCCCCTCCCGTCAGTCGTCCCGGTCGACGAGTCTTCTGGCTCTGGTAGTCCTCCGGCGCAGTCCTCGCCGTCTGTCCCTCCCCCGGTGTCTCCTCCTCCACCGCCTCCGCAGCCGCCGTCGCCGCAGCTGCTGCAGCCGTCGTCTCCACCGCCGCCGCCGTTGCAGCCGTCGTCTCCGCCGCCACCGCCGTCGCGGCCGTCGCTGCAGCCGCCGCCGCCGCCGCCGCAGTCGTCGCTGCCGCTGTTTGTGGACTCTGGGGGTGCTGGCGTTGAGGTGGGTACTAGTCCCGGGGCTCCTGTCGTGGCTTGTCCCGGCGGGCCTGGGGGTGGTACCGGTGCTGGCGGGGTTTCGTGCTCTGGGGGTGTCCCTTCTGGGGGTGCCGGTGTGGAGGGTTCGGGAGGTAGCAGTCGCGCAGCTTGTGGCCCTGGCATTGGTGTTGTGTCGCCGCAGCAGCAGTCCCCGTCGGTGTCCGCCTCCGTCTGCTCGGCCTTCCGTCCCCTGACCCTGCGCCTGTTCCTCACCTGCCGTCTCCTCCTCTTCCCGTCTACGGCCCGTGTTCCCTCCGCCGGACTCGTCCCCGGCTCGTTTTCCCCCTCGTTCCCCACCCGTGTCCCCTCCTCTGTCTCCTGACCCGACGCCTCCCTCTCACGTCTGGTCTCGCCGCCCCTCCCGTGCTCGTCCTGTCTCCCCGTCCCGCGCTCTCACCCTATGTTGCTCCGGTCCCACGTGTCTCGTCCTCCCCTCCTCCCGTCTCCTCCTCCGTCCTCTCTTGTCGTTGCGTCTCCTCCTCTGTCTGACTACTTCCGTGCCGCTCGTCCTCTTGTTCCTCGGGTCCTTGCCTCTCTGGTTACAGACCCGTCTGTTCCCGTGTCGAGTCTTGACGCCCTCGTCGCTGCGGTCGCTGACTTCGCCTCTACCCGCCGCCTTGACTACGCCACCGCTCTGGTCTCTCACCCTGCCTGTCCTCCGTCTGTCGGGGGTGCTCCTGCCCTCGGCAGTGACGTCCTGGAGGACCGCCAGTTTGAGCTTGCTTTCCTGTCCGAGGCTGCTCCCCATCTCTGTTCCATGCTGCTAGTCCCTGAGGGTGACCCAGACGCTTTCGACATCCCGACCCCTCGTACTTACGCTGAGGCGGTTTCGGGACCCTGGGCCTCTCAGTGGATAGCTGCCATGGAGCAGGAGATGGCATCTTGGAGATCCACCGGCACCTTCGTCGACGCAGTTCCCCCACCTGGGGTGAACGTGGTCGATGGCCGTTGGCTCTTCAAGGTGAAGCGCCCTCCTGGAGAGCCGCCTGTGTTCAAGGCGCGCTACGTGGCTAGAGGCTTCAGTCAGCGCGAGGGGGTGGACTTCTTTCAGACTTTCGCTCCTACCCCGAAGATGACTACTCTTCGGGTGCTGCTACACGTAGCGGCTCAGCGTGACTACGAGCTTCACTCCCTCGACTTCTCCACTGCCTTTCTTCAGGGCAGCCTTCACGAGCAGGTCTACCTGCGTCGCCCTCAGGGCTTTACTGGCACCTTCCCCCCTGGGACCCAGTGGCTTCTGCGGCGGCCAGTCTACGGCCTGCGCCAGGCGCCTCGTGAGTGGCACGACACTTTGCGTGCTACCCTTGCTGACCTGCAGTCCTTTCCGTCCTCTGCAGACCCTCGCTCTTCGTTCGTGCTGGCTCGACTCCGTTCTACATCCTCGTCTACGTAGACGACCTGGTCTTTGCCACTGCTGACAGGGACGCACTGGCCTCCGTGAAGGCAGAGCTGCTGAAGAGACACCACCTGCACTGACCTTGGAGAGCTGCGCCGTTACCTTGGCTTGCAGATCTCCAGGGACAGAGCCGCGCGCACCATCACCCTGACTCAGTCACACTTGGTGCGCCAGGTCCTTCAGAGGTTCGGCCTTCAGTTCTCCTCCGCACAGCCCACCCCTCTTCCTCTGGACCACAGACTCTCCGCTCCAGTTCCTGAGGAGTCGGTAGATCCCAGTGGTCCTTACGCTGAGCTAGTGGGTTGCCTCATGTACCTGATGACTTGCACTCGCCCAGATCTCGCATACCCTCTCAGCATCCTGGCTCGTTTCGTGGCCACAGGCAGGCACCGACCTCAGCACTGGTCTGCCGCTAAGAGGGTTTTGCGTTATCTTGCAAGTACATCGGGCATGGGGTTAGTGCTAGGCGGACGCAGGCCAGTGGTCCTTACTGGACACACAGACGCTTCTTGGGCAGACGACGCCGAGACGCTCAGGTCTTCCCAGGGCTACTGCTTTAGCCTTGGTTCAGGTGCTGTCTCGTGGAGAGCTACCCGCTCTTCGTCTGTTGCCCAGTCCAGCTGTGAGGCCGAGATCTACGCCGGTGCCATGGCGGCACAGGAGCTCCGCTGGCTGACCTTCTTGCTCACTGACTTAGGTGAGCGGCCTAGCTCTGCCCCGGTCCTGTACGCTGACAACAGGGCCATGATCCTCCTGTGTCAGGAGCCTCGACTCGAGGGCAGAGCGAAGCACATCCAGCTGCGGTACTTCCTCCTGCGTGAGCTACAGCAGCGTCGCCAGGCTCGCGTAGTACACTTAGCCTCCGGTGCCAACACAGCTGATATCTTTACGAAGGCGCTTGCGCCTAAAGATCATCAGCGGCACTGTGTGCAGCTTGGTCTGGTTCCTGTAGTCTCTCACTTACTCGGGCCTTGACTCTGTACTGTCCTATATATCTGTGTGTACACTCAGACTGGACTTGTGTCCTATTACAGTGGTTGGACTAGTAGTGCCGCCCTGTACTAGTTCTTGCCTTGCCTGTACTCCTTCTGACTGGTCTTTTAGACCCTTGTCTCAGAGGCTGGACTAGTAGTGCCACCCTGAGCTGCTTGTCTAGAACATTCCCCTATGCAGTCCAGGGGGTGTGTCAAACATGTTTAGTTATCATGCTTGTATAGACTGTATAGGGTCATCTTCTAGAGAGTACAACAGTTAGGTATATGTTTGTGTACTCTCTCTCTCTATTCATCAATTTCACTGTTTGTTATAAGGGACACCAATAACTTGGGTACTTTTCATACCCTAGCCGAGAAGCTCACCCAGTGCTGCAAGACAGCACAGCAACCAGTGCAGCAGAGCTTCACCAATGCCAAGACGGGGCATGGTAGGAGCAATCTCCTAGGGCCTCACAGGAAGCAGCCGGGGAAGGAACCAGTCATGCCCATTCCCATGCAGCCCCAGAAGCCTACATAATCGTATCATAATCATGATGATTATGATCATTTCTGTTCCCGCTTGTGATTATTGCGCAGCTGCGGTGATACTACCTTTGCCTTGGCCCGTCCCCTAACCACGATCACACCCATGCCAAGCCAGACTGTGAGAGCAATCACCCACGCCTTTCTGGACGCAGGGGGGGACTTGGAGAAACTCGTCCTCACTTGCGCAGGTGCGGTGAGACCTTTGCTCTGCCCCGGCTTTTCACCCTGACAAAGAATACAGCTAGCCCCACCACGACCACAAGTGCACCCACACCAAGCGAGACTACGAGGGCAATCACCCAAGCCTTGCCGGATGCAGGGGGGGGGGTTGTGTCTGCAGCTGGAGGGGGATGGCTGAGAGTAGTTGACAGCGGTTGGTTGCCTGTGTCAGTCGCAAGCACTCCAGTCCAGAGCATACCAGTCACACGTCCAGCAGAAGGGGAGGGAGGGGGGGTTGGGGGAGAGAGAGGGGAGGAGATGTTCAGGTTTAGGATACCATGGCAAGCTGGACAGCGCGAGGCTTGTGGGAGAGATCGGGCGGCAGAGTGAGGTTTTAAGTAAACTTAAATGGGACAGGTCGTGCAACAGTCTGGATTCAAGATGAGGTGATGATGGGAGCACTCATTTGCCTTTGTGATGGCTACAGTGCACGGCCCAGAGAGAAGAGCAGAGAAGGAGGCTTGTTTCGTGATGAAGTGGTGCAGGGGGGCACTCACTGCGTTCTCTGATGGCTACAGTGTAGAGCCCAGGGCGGAGGGCAGTGAAGGTGGCAAGGCCGCCCTGCTGCCAGAGCAGAGTGGAGTCCAGCACCTGCCAGCCGCCCACCGGGGGTAGCGATGCGGCTGGAGAGGTGAGGATGGTGGGAGTGGTGGTGTGCCTGATGATGGGGATGGGGATGATGATGGTAGGGATGCTTGGGATGATGATGGTAGGGATGCTTGGGATGATGATGGTGTGCGGATGGTGGGGATGGTGCGGATGGTGCGGATGGTGGGGATGTGGGTGTGGTGTGAGGGTGGAAGAGGATGCTGATGGTATCGGGTGCAGGGAGAGAGGCATTCATGGCGGAGGAGAGAACCTCCTGCAGAGAGAAGGCCTGAAAGACAATGCAGGCTGATGCTAGGAGTGCTTCTGGTGGTGATGTTGATGTCGATGCTGCTGGTGCTGCTGGTGCTGGTGCTGCCGCTGGTGGCATTGATCCTGCTGCCGCTGCTGCTGCTGCTGCTGCTGCTGCTTCTGGGGATGGTACCAACGCTGCTAAACCTTCTGCGATGGGTGCTGCTGCTTCTACTAGTGTTGATCCTGCTGTCGAGGCGGGTTCAGCTCCCGGCAATTGCATGCTGCCACAAGGCGTGCTGCCGCTGTTAGCTTCGCAAGGTGCTGGCATGGTGAATCGCAGCATGAGCAGAGGACACCCCAGGGCATCCAGCCGCTGGGAGTCAAGCCCCGTTTCCAAGCCAGCGGGAGGGGGAGGATGAGCGTCAAGTGGCGGTAAAGCAGGCGGGAAGGCGAAGGAGACCACATCAGAGATCACTCGGAACACCAGAGGAGTCTCGTCTGCCTTGTCTGCTTCTGTGCTGTGTGCTGCTGGGCTGTGCGCAGCTGCCACACCCCCCTCCAGGGCTCCCGACCCCCCTTCTCCTCCCCCGACCACCACCCTGAAGCCCTCGCTGGCTGGAAGCACTGGGTGCCATGAGGGACTCTAGAGCGGCAGAGGGAGATGATGGGGATGACGATGCGGACGGGAGTAGGGAAAATGCTGGGTGCTGGCGCCTGTGCTGATGCCCGGGACAAGTGAGCTGGAAAGAGTTGGTTTTCCTGACTGTTGAGGACTCCCAGGGAGCAACCGAGATGGCAGCATGGCGGTGCAGCGGCCGTCACACGCAATGACGACCACTGGGAAGGCACGAGAGAGCAGGACGGAGGGAGCTTCGGCAGAATCCGATGCCGCATCAGCTGTACCACCACCACTTCCGCCCTCAGGAGCATCAAGAATCTCCGCAATATCCCCACTGTCACCCTCACTCTCTGCCTCCTCCCCTTGCTCTATCCCAGCAAGAGCCAGCGCCCAAGCATTGACCACAAACTGCACAGAGGGCGGATGGGGGTCCGCATTGCCTGATGCATCCACTGCCCGTGCGCTGAAGGCATACACTCCGTCCGGGAGAGTGGCGTCGCGAAGAGGGTTTAGGAGTGGCGGTTGAGTGGGGAATGAGGGGGAGGGGTCGACAGGTAGAGAGGGGAGGAGAGAGGCGAGGGTGACGTCAGCTGTGAGTTGAGAGGGGGAGGGCGGCCAGGGAGGGAGGGTAGAGCTGTCAGTGCTCTGATTGGTTGGTGGTGTGTCGGGAGCGGCTGGGAATGAGCCAACGCAAGGCTGCCACGTGAAAGTGCTTCCATTGGTGCCCGCACCCACTTCAGCCCCCTCTACCCCCATCATTGACTCCAGTCTACACTCCAGCCGCACCACCCCACTCCCCCTCGCCTCTTCCCTACCCAACACCCGCACTGTGGGACTCAGTGAGGAGGCGACACCTGGCACGCTGTGATTGGCCCAGGAAATGGAGGTGGAGGGTGGGGTGGTGTCTGAAGGACGGGGGAAGTGGGAACGGGGAGGTGTGGGGCGAGGGAGGGGCGGAGGGAGGGAGGCATACAGAGGAGGAGTTATGGGGTGATGGAAACAGAAGAACATGGGGAGAGGGCCAGGAACATTGTTTTTGCAGACATACATAAGGGCCTTAGACACGGCAAACACAGCAAGGGTACGCACCAACAGTCCAGGAGAAGCATGCCCATGCCCCCACACTGCTCAGTGCTCCCACAGGCCGCACGAATAGCTGGTGCTGGCCGTCTGGGAGTGAGGGCAGGAGGACAGGGCTGCTGCACGGCC